GTTCATAAATAACATCCGACCCTGCATAGGTTCGAACCCCTTTTATTTGTTGCGGGTCTCTTTCTTTACCTCTACGCTACAGATCCATGATACCTTGAAGCTAAAGTGCTATTTGTAATATATTAGTCCGTGTTGGTATCGTTAGCAATGGCTGTACTTAATAGCTGGTTATTTATCTGATGCACATACTGCAATAAAAGAACAGTTTCAAAACGAACCTTAAAGTTTGTGACTTAGGTTGGAAAACAAGAGAGTGTAACTAAAAAGAGAGGGTCAACTAACCGGAGAAAGATACTCATTTTGAACAGCCGAAATTTAAACACACAGGTGAAACTACGCTTCGCAAACACGTGCGAGAACACAAAAACTCAGCTGTATACCGTGAAATGAGAAAAGTAAAAATAAACCTCGAAAAATTAAAAATTCTGCTATGTGTCGGATTCGATCCTGCGACCTATCGATTGTGAGTCTCCCGCACTTACCACTCAGTCACGGACGATTTTCGATCGACAAACACTAGCCACAAATAAAGCAGAGAAGAGATTTTGAAAAATTTATAAAGCTACAGCTGCTGATTTTAGCAAACACGCCACAAATGATCATTTTTACTAGCAAGCCCGCGGCAGCCGAAGCGGCAACTGAAAAATAGATTGGATAGATGATGCTTAGCTTAGCTGGTTGTAAATATAGCTGGATAATTGAATGGATGTATTGCAGGCAGGGTATGAATGGACACATGAAGGGCCGTTTAGATGGATGGCTATAGGGCTGGTTGGATGGATGGATAAATGGGTGATTTGAGTGACGGTAGAATCGAAGGTTGACTGGCTGGTTGTATGGGTGGCATGATGGATGACGGGTTGGAAGGATGGCTGAATTGATGAGCATGGATAGACGAGCTAGATGGATTGACAACTGGTTGAATAGCTAGATGGCTCGATGGCAAGATACATAATTTGATGGCTGTCTGAACAGCTAGATGTATGGACGACTGGCTGTATGGTTGATAGCGTAATGGCTGAATGGACGGATGGGCAGGTAGATGGATAGCTGATTGGATGAAGAGATGTCTAGTTGGATTTATGGCTCGGTCAATGATGGATGACCGAATGATGGATGGATGCAGGATGAATGGATATCTAGGTGGATGGAGTGCTAGATCGATGATGATTGGCTTGATAGATGACTGGCTGAACGTGTGGATTGACTTACGGATGAATTGCTGAATGATTGATAGCTGAGATAGGTTGATCGTTGCATGGATGGACGGACGACAGAATGACTGTAGGGCTAGAATGATAGATGAATGACTGGCTGACTGGATGGATGGAAATCAGGATGGATCGCTGAATGGTCAGATCAACAAATGGCAAGACAAACCGATGATTTTTGGATGAATGGACAAACGGCTGGCTAGATAGATAGATGACTGGTTTGATGGATCAATCAATGGCTAGATGGATGGTAATTTGATGGATGGCCGGTTGGGTGGATGCATGGGAGTATATAGATGGGCTAGAGCAATCGATGGGTGCATGGATGGCTGGTTGAATGGATAGATGGCTCGTTAGATGATTATTGGTTGGTTGGATCGTTAGTTTGACAGTTGGCTAGATAGATTGCCAGATGAATGGATGGCCAGTTGAATGAATGTATGGCGAAATCGTTGGATTGATGACAGTTAAAACAGATAAATGAATGGATGGATGGATGCTTCGACAACTAGGTTGATGGATGGCTGAATGGATGGATGGCTAGATGAAGAGATTGTTTGATGAATGGAAGGGCTGATGGATCGATGGTTGGGTGGATCGATAGCCTAATGCATGCATGGATGATTGAATGGATAGATGGCTATGTGGCTAGATAAATGAATTTCTGGTTGAATGGGTCGCTAGATGAACGGATGGATGACCCGATGGATAGATGCATCGCTCGAGGGAAGAATGGCTTGATGGATGGATGGCTGAACGGATGGTTGCGCGGCTTTTTGTGCAGACGGATGGATTGATTGATGATAAATTGAATGTGCAAATTTATGAAATGGAAGAATGGTTGGATTGATGGATGGCTAGATGAATGCATGGTTGCGCTGACGTATAAAGAATTTATATAGAAGGAAAAATAGCTAGATGGATGGGGGCTTCTTAAAAAGATTGATGTCACAACTGGACTTCAGCAAACCCTGCAAATAACTCAACATCCTCCCGCCATAGGGTCAAGAATTTAACAAAGTCTAAAAAAATTTAAAAATTTAATCAATTATACCTATGTAGGTCATATCTGCTACTGCTGAGAGCACCGTGACATCGCCCTTTCAATTTTTGATGTTTTTTTAAATTGAAATTTTGATGTCGGCGCTGATGTCAATTATGAAAGCCACAAATGAAACTCCTGAGGTTATTTTGATATCCCCCACCGTTTTATGGCACTCTGCATGGAGTGGAGCCTTTCAAACTTTCTGAAGTATTGTTGAATCAAAATTTTTGGAAATGTTTGAAAAATCATTAAAATGGCATATCTTGGAAACTGTAATATTTTGACCAGTCGTGGGAGTCAAGAATTGAAATCCTTAAACTACCTTGACATCCCTTAAGTATAGCTTTGATAATTTCAAACAAAACTGTGATGTTTAAGAAATATAATCCAAGTTTTTTAAAAAAAAACTCATAAATTACATCACAACTCAGAAACTGAAAAATTTAGGTAATCTTACTTGGAGGCATATTTTGCAAGTCTTGGGACAACATTGACAGCAGTCCACTTTAGGTTGCTTGTTTCAAACTTGTTGAAAAAAATGCTGCAGCGAAACACGCCCGTTACATAATTTATAGAATGGATTAATCCAACCTACACACTCTACTTTACTGCGCTGCCCTCCTTCTCCCCTAACATGCTTGCATTACAGATACAGCCTTACGTTTGGTATTTTTCATGGGCCTAGTATTCATATACTGAAAACTCGACGCAGAGGCTAAGTGGACCTTGGCGACACTTGCGGTACAATACAGTCATAAAAAAGCATAAATCGAAAAAAAAAACGAAAAACGTAAAAAAAACTAAGTGAACCAAAAACATTCGTATACCTCAAGGCAGGACACCTAGGGTGGTTTTTAAGAAAATTAAGATGATTGTTTGATACGGTAGTTTATCAGAAAATTCGAAGTTTCTGAAAAACGGTCGAAGTTCAAAAACCTGACAGTCCAAGAGACGTAATTTTTTTCTGCTGTAAAAGCAAGTTGAGGCCTGTAAAGTAGAAGAGTTTCCCGAAATCGAGTTTCTCGATTGAAAATTTAACCTAAGAATTTGCACGGTAATTATCGAGAAGAGTAAAAAAAAATCCAAAAAAGGCCAAAGTTCCAAATTTATCATTTGTTTGAAGGCTATAACTTTTTTCTTTAGAAAATTGGCGTAATAAACTATAAAAATACGTTTCCAAAAACTTTTGTATCGATTGAACCTATGATTTCATGTTAGTGATCGAGAAAAGTCAAAAAGTTTTCAGAAACTGTCAAAAAATCAATATTTTTCTCTTCCGAGGGTCAAACTTTTTTTTGTCAATAACAAATGACGCGTAGTCACGTATACAAAAAACCTTTTAACAACCCTTTCGCTGGATTGAACCCAAAGACTCAGGTATGGGAAGGTATTGTTTGGTACATTTCGAAAGATTTCGAAAAAAAAGCTCAGAAAATTGACTTTTCCGAGGAGGATAATTTCTTGTAAGAAAAATTTCAAGTGGCCGCTAAAATCGTGGAGTTTTCCAACACAGTTATCTCATTTGAACCCAAAACATTGGATTTGGGTGGTTAGTTCTCGAAAAAAAATCAACAGATTCAAAAACGGTCGAAAAAAAAAACAAAAACTTGACTATTCCGAGTGCCATAATTTTATGTCTAAAAAAGTTTGGGCCAGGCCCCTTATGAAAGAGAGCTTTTCAAATCCCTTCAGCTTAGAAAAAAAGAAGGTTCGTGAAGTTACACTATGCTGATCACTCGTGCAAATTTAGTTTAAATAGACTTACCAGTTAGGTTGGAAAAAAAGAAGGTTCATACTAACAGACTACGCTCGAAGCTCGCCAGTGTACATAATCGATCCTTAAATCCGAAAAAAGGAAAACGGTCCTCGAGTAGCCCACGGCTTAAAGCTACCGCTCTTCGCGACAACTACTGCCTCTCAATTTCATTTCGAGTCCTACCCTCTGCTGGCAAGCTCGCAACACGTGAAACTATGGTGGGTAATTCTGTTATATAAAATGGCTGCAATCTATCCATTAGTAGATACGTTTTTTTATTAAACCTTCGCCGCAAAAAGCGTTCCATTTAATGCTTTTCGAAGAGTTAAAACAAAAGCTGGACAGCTGTCAATTTATTCTAATGAAAGAACGGATATAAGTTATTGTTAAAGCGTTTTCAAAACCAAAATTTCACCTTTCTTCGCTTACCTTTTTCCTCAGAAACGGGCTCAGATTTTTAAAGGGCTCAGAAACTGCCTCCGATTGATAAAGGTCTCAGAAACGGACTTCAAATTCGAGGTGAAATGAATCTTCGGTTCGCGATATTCAAGTACTTTTCGCGAACCGAAGATTCAGTTCACCTCGACTTTGAAATCAGTTTCTGAGCCCTTTATCAAAACCTTTGAGTTTTAAACGATTGTTGGAATATGGTTGTTCCTCCTCAGTCAACGAGGTCGAGTTAATGTCTCGAAACTCCAACCTTGCGATTGAGAGGTAGAGGCTGAGACTGTAACTTTATCGAATCTGCTCATTTCATTATTTTACTATGAAGCAACATAACCTTTGAAAAATAAACCATTCGCTTTAAAATCAGTGAGGCACAGAAAACGGTTCGATCCACTTTCGAAAACAGCTCGCCAGGAAAAGTGTAGCAATCGAAACTCTAATTTTATAAAATTACTAGCCACTGTGTTGTTTCGACTAATTATTTAAAACGCATTTTAAATTGTTCTATCAAATGCTCAAGCTGAGAAAGAATTGCAGATAAATTAAAATCTATTCAATTGCCTTTTTAATATGTACATAATTCTGCCAAAGTATCAAATCAAAACAGATATTACAAAGCTTGTTCATGATAGCAGTCAATCTATCTACATCGCTTCCATAAATCATCATCTCCATCCTCATAATTCCGATTATCAGTTCAAAGAAAGAGGTCGACCTCCACCAGTGAAAGAGTTCGTGGAACTTGTTAACTATTCCCACCCCAATTCCAAAAGAAGGCGGGGGGTTCGTTATAAGGTACAAAATTCATGTATGCTAAAGCGTTTAGTTAGTTCTTTACATATCTGGCATATTTTTCTAGGTACAGTAGGGGGTGCAGAAAAAAGTCAACAAGCAGAGGTCGTCATACAAGGCTCAATTTATGAATCCAAAAAGTCCTTTTGCTTCAGGGTTGGAGTTCCAATTAACCAGTTCAATTGCCGGTAGGAAAGTAGAACTGTTTGGTGAGTTGGCTGCGTTGTGAGGGCACCATCTTGTAGTTGCCACTCGAACTGGAGAACTTCTCCTGCACCAGTCTGTTCACTTCAGTCATCATAGACACTAGGTCATACTTGAACGCACACTTCTGGAACACGTGCACTATCGCCTAGAACACACAAGAGCCGGTTCAGAACTTTCAACTAAGAATGCATAATCTGCTGCAAATACAAGCTTATTAAGCTCCTACAAGCTCGAATGCTTTCTTTTTCAAAAAAAAAAACTTTTTTTATCAGGAAAATAGATCAATCAGGTAAATGTTGTACAGTGCCAATGACCGTGTACTTTTGTACAGTGATAGTGTAGCTAAATAGAGTATAGTGACAGTGTACTTTCTTTTACAAATAAATATAAATGAGCAATAATTTATTCTTGACGTTTCTTTCATAAAACCCGGATCGAGAGTTTTTTATTCCGCTGGTAAATCTAAAAAAAAATCATCCACTCTCGAATATAAAGTCATTTATCACTTTGTTCACAATCAAGCAAAACATTTCACCACTTGTATAATTTTATAATTATAGTCAGTTGCTTCGACAAAGATTAATTGGTAGTAGTGATCGACATGTTTCAAAATAACAACACATCAAAAACCTAAATTTCCCACATGTTGAGCTCTTGTAAAACTTGATCACTGGCTGATGATTCATAGCTTATAACCAAGTTAACACCACCACCTACAAACAGGCTGCCGAAGACAATGTTAACGTGGATCTTATTTTCTATATTTTAATGTTTTGCAGCTTTCCATTTCTTATAAGACTATTGATCTACGGTGGAAAAGAAGAACATAAGAACTGTTCACCTGTTTACGGCGAGCCACTGTTCTGTCCCTAGTTAAGAATTACATGCATTTCTAATTTTAACCTAAACTATTTTTTTAGTCCCCGGTCCTGCCTTATTCGGGACCAAACCCTGCATTGTCTTGAGCTGCTTACAATCCCCAATGGTTCCCGATCGAAACTGTACGGACTTGCCTGAATGAACCAGGAGCCATTGGCACTGTTCCTCCAGCTGACGTATCCGGGCACAGTGGCATAGGCCACGAAGATGTCACTCTGGCTGGCGATCACATCTCCTCTCGTGATGGCGTCTGGCTCGTCATAGTTGTGCGACAGGAGATCTTGGTACAGTTGCTCCTCGTCCTCCTCACTCAAGTTATCTAACATTCAGTTAAATAACAATGTAACACAGAGAAACATTCATCTCAATGACAAGTTCAGAACATCTTAAGCTTAATGATAACACACAGGCGAAATGGAGCTTCGCAACACAAAGATAGCATTGTAAATTTGAAGACAGACAATGAGACGCAGGCAGCTAAAGGTCGAAGAACTTTTTTCAAATTCGATAAAAAATACTTCATAAATTTGTCGCGAATGATCTTCATTTTGAGGGAAAAAATGACAAAAAGCAATCACCACCGTTAAATAAAGCGATGCATAGAAAAAGTTGGGCTATAAATTTTACGCCCCATTCTTTGAGACGCAATATATTTTTGAATTTTAAACTTTTAAGACTTAGAGACTTTTTCCTAAAAAAAACAAATCAGCAAGACCTATATAAGAGTCTTTACTACGTTCATTACTCTTAAAAAACAAGCAGACAAACGATAGTCTGAATATTAAAATTTTCCAAATTAAATACTTCAACACATGAAAAAAAGTCCGGTCGGGACTCGAACCCAGACTTATGTTCCAGACACGCGCTTTATCTCTGGACTAAATTGGAAGGGACCTGAAATGTGTCCAGGTTCCATAAAATAGCAAATTATACATACACAAATACATGAGGGGAAATACAACAGGTCCGGTACTGATTCAAACCCGAGCGGCCTGTAAAAAGAGTTGTTATCGGGAAAAAACTAGTTCCCAATTACAAGCCATTTGCTCTCGCGAGTAAAATAACAGAACTAATAAAACGAAAACTGAATTTTTGATGAAAGTAGTAAAATTCTGAAGTAAGCAGTTATCCTAAACTGGCAATGATTCTGCTGGCAGATATCAGTTCTATACAAACTATCATATCCAAACAGCCTGTGTAAAAATCCGAGTTCAATTATTATGTCAGATAATCGATATTTAAAATTATACAACACATCATGATCTAGTTATGAACTCATGTATTTAGAACTGATGTGCGGCGAAATTAATTAACTAACCGGGCACTTCTAAGGCTCCACGTGGAGCATCTCCGGCCGAGTCAGTGGCATCGCCACCGTACAAATCGGCCCCCTTGTCCATTCTTTCTCCCCTACACGCCTGCAGGAAAAACAACTTGGGCTTTCCGTTCAGATTCGGACACTCATCCCCGTGGAACAATTTCAGCATCCATTCAACTCCTAACAGGTTGGTAGAATTGGAGTCAGTCGCGTATAGATATCCGTCTTTGCCGTGACTCATAATCACCACAACACAACTACTGTACTTCTGGTGGTCTTGTTGAAGAGCAAACCGCTCCAGGACATCTTTCATTTGACCCAGTCTCAGATTTCGAGTATGTTCTTCCTCGAAAATTTCAAAATTGAAAGCTCGAAGCAAGAGCCTCATGTTATGATGATCAACATCTGAGCCCTTTCGTTTCATCATGTGTGCGAAGTCAACATTATTTATAATTAAGGCCAGTCCCGTTTTCTTAGTCGGGTCTACTGGGTAGCGTCCCAGCTCCTGACTTGAAGTTGATACTTTTGGTTTCGGTATGCCAGACGGAAGGGCGTCAACAGAATCGCTGATTTCTATCTTCTCGATCCGCTTCAGTAAGTCGTCTGATAAACCCGAACTTTGTGGACTACTCCTGTCTGTTGACTGTGCTTGTGTCTGAAATATCGAAAGCACTCTTTATTTTTTCAATGAGGAGAACACTTATTTTTATATAAAATTAAGATGAGTAAACTAGTTTATTTTCAAGATATAAATTTTATTTATATCTCTGAGCCTTTCAATAATGGTAATATGAGTAAAAAACTATGTATTTATGATACCAGCGCGTAATTAAGAGAGGCAGAACGACCCTTCTTATCTCAGATTTCGATATTTTCGCTGCTCGAAGGACCCCACCTTTGGAATTATTTTACATCCAGTTTTGCTTGAATGATGTTAGTTTATTATTTAGTTAGTACGATGGGACTGAATTGGAGAACGAGCCATAGAAATCAGTTAAAAATAGCTAAAGTATTGCACACATCGCAGAAGAATTAGACTACAAATTCAATCTGGAAATTCAGTCTGAAATTACCAGCCTGCAAATAATAATCTGACAGCAGGCTAATATTCAGACCAGTTCAGTTTTTCTCGACACTGAAGACAACTTTTCTGGATATTTTAGAACTCCGAATCACCACTAACAGAGCTTCAATATCAAAACACACTTGGTCCCGAACGAGCTTTTATTGAGGTAGTCAAAATCGGGAAGAATAAAAAACACCTCTCAGTTACTTCGTAACCCTTCAGGGGTTGGTCCAAACAAAAAATCCACCAAGCAAAAAAAAAATCTGAGAAAAGAAAACGGCTTACAGCATGAACAAGCGTTATCAATTCGTAGTTGATTTTTCTTCAAGTTTTGGAAAACAGTTTTCATGTGATGTTTTCCACAAAAAAATCACAGGAACACTTTAGAAGTATCTAAGTCCCCCTCAAAATCTCAAAGTATTTAGAAAAAAATTGCTCATTAAACAATTCAAATTGAGGCCACTAAGCCGATATAATGAAAAGACAATTTTCACATCCAATCAAGAGAAACAACAAAAGAAAAAAACGATATACTGAAATCAAAATAATATACACACTTAAAGCTAGAAAAACGCTTTTTTCACTTTTCTGCTGAGCTAAAAATCTAAACTTACTTGAAACTAAATCCTAGCGACATGTTATTGTTATTGTTTTTAGTAACTGCAAAAGGAGGGGTCATCCTACTCGTGTTTCATTGTCGTCTCGTCCGTCAAACAGTAACTGTCGCTTTGCCAGTGTTCGCTGAGAGCGGGAGGGTCCGCTTCTGACATTAACCAGCAAAACCCATTCTACAAGCAGTGTTTGGTACGGAAAACTGAGCAATACTACCGAGCTGGTTTTTTTAATAAGTGCGGAGAACCCGTTATGTTATCAATGAGCCATTTTGCATCCGCAACCTGAGAATTGGCACGGTAATTTTCGAGTAGAGAAAAAAAGTTCAAAAAGTGATCACAGTTTCAAAACACTCCGTGTTTAAACACCATCACGTTTTTCTAAAAGAAAACAAGGTAGCAACTTATAAAAACAGGCATCCAACAAACAGTTTTGCTGATTAAACCTATGATATCAAATTAAACCTATGATATCGAGAAAAGTCCAAATAACGGTCAAATCAGAAAGTTGACATTTCCGAGAATCATAACTTTTTCATTTTACAAAAATGGACGTAGCCGCTCATGCAGAAGCGAATCACCCAATTTGTTATTTCGATTGAACCCGAAAACCCAGGTTTGCATAGAAGTTCTCGATAAAAGTCAAAACGTTACAAAAAACGGGCAGCAAGTCAAAATTTTGACTTTTCCGAGGGGCTTTGTTTTTGATATAAAAAAAATGAGTGTAGTCGTGAATGCAAAGGCACAAACGACAAACTTTTCGTTGGATTGAACCTAAAACCTCAGATTAACAAATCGACTTTTCCGAGGATGATAACTTTTGATGTATTAAATTGTGGTTGGAAGCCATGCAAAGAGCTTCCCAATACACGTTATCTCCATTGAGGTTTTGGAGGTTAGTTTCCGAGAAATTTTAGAGATTCAAAAAACGGTCAAAAAATGAAAAAAAAATTGACTATTCCGAGGGCCATAATTATATGTGAAAAAAAGTTTGGACGTAGCTGCTTATGGAGGAGAGCTTTTAAAATGCGTTTTTTTCATTGAAACCAAAATCTCAGATTTCGTACTGATAGAAACACGAAAAAAATCACAAAAGTCAAATATTCCCTTCACACAGACTTTTTCGAAGGCTGTAGACAAAGGGGTAAAGCAAAACGAGACCAGAAGAGTATGCAGGCACACAAGAATTTAGGCGGTCTTTCTATGGCTACACCTTTTTTGAAACGGTAGAAGGGTTTTTAAGGAAAACATTTTTTTTTTGCAAACAGTGATGAAGTTTCCAAAGAACTTTGTCTCAGAGCCCGAAGCACGGGAGCCCGTATTTATGGCATAGCCAAGGTGCATTAAGCAAATGTACCCATCCGTCCAATCCTTTCTCTTCCCGGTAGCTGCTATTCGAATCTTACTGACTGGTTAGCCACCTGGTTAGATCTCTATGGGACACCGATTGAAAGCTCGTCAAGTGGAATCAGCGACGCGCTTTCTTCCGTAACACTAGACCCAGGAGACGTTCTTATTTGCCTAGATCTTGCCAGCCTTTATACAAACGTGCCTGTCGGAGAGTCCATTGTTTTGGCAGGCGATATTGTTCACACCAGTGAAGATCCACTACCTCACCTGTCGAGCATGAAGACTATATTACGTTGCTGGAATTGAATCTACGTAATAATTTTTTCCAGTGTGCGGAGCATTAGTACGTTCAACGTGAAGGACTGGTGAGGTTGTACCTCGCCGACTGCTCATACTATTGACAGTTCATCGCAACTAGCTCAAGTTTTCGCATGAGAGATGTATGATAATTTCATAAGTGTTCAAAGATCAAAGATCTCAAATCGACTACCTTTTTGAGAGAGTCAATAAGCTGCATCGAATTTTACTTTAGAAAGGGAGAACAATTGCAATATCCCTTTTAAGGACATGATGATGATGATACAGAAAGAAACCAATTTCAGCACAATTTGGTACAGGAAATCAACAGATACCGGCCTTTCACTGTCGTTTCATCCGTGTACGCCTACTCATTGTTTCCGCTCCTGTACTTAGAATTAAATACACATCAAATGAATTCAATTAACGAATTCACACACATAATTCGTTAATGCGGAATTCATTAAGACCTACAGACAACAAGTGAATGTGCAATACATGCAGACAATATTGACAGTGCCTAACCACAGAGGCGAAGCTGCGTTACGCAGACACTTGCCAGAACACGACCAAAAAGCAACTCTATCAAGTGAAATAAGGAAAGTAGAAATAAGCATCGAATTAGCTAACTCTTGGCAACGCGTAGGATTCGAATCTGTGACACTGCAACTTTGAATCTTACGCACTAGAGACTCAGCTACGGATGCTTAAAAACGCCAAAAACTAGCCCTTAATACGCCAAAAACTAGCCTTAATACGCCAAAAACTAGCCAAAGACACATATTTGCATGTAATAAATTGGTAAGCATAAAGCCAAATTATACATAAATTATGCATTTCCGAAAAAATTGCGACACATTGAGTTGGAAAATTTCTGAAATTGAGCGTTTTATCATTGTACTGCTGTTTAAAACAATTAATTTTTTCGGTTCATTTGAAAAATAAAAATCCATCAACTTTTAGCCAAATTGTTGTTATAAACTTTTCAAATAGATGTGATATGTTTGCTGTTTGTCGAGCGCCCTTTGAGGGATTTTAGAGAGAGGTCTGTCAAGTATGTCTCTGGTCTGGTGGAAGGAGTTCCTGGCCTGAGGACTCTGGTGGTGCGCCGCTAGACCTTCTGAGCTCGGGTGAGATTGTTCCTTAACAGCGAGTTCTATAGAATTTATATATTTTTTGTAAATTAAATTTGTAATAATATTTTCTTCATCCATAAAATTCCCATCCTGTTATTATGGGTTAGTCCAGTCCCCATGTGTCCAGTCAATTTCATTTTTAACCATACGACACGCCGTCAAGATGAGGAAAAACAACAAGAAATGTACAAGCACAATATTTAAAACCTTGAGGACTTTTAAATTGAATTAGATGTGATTGTTGTTGTTCCGACTTTCGATACGAAAGTAACGGAATATTTGTGCTCGGGGTGGGTTTTTTTTCCTCAGACAAATTTCGACTTTTTAACTAGCCATTTTTCATTCGAAATCCATTTTTTGACGGAATCCATTTTTTATATCATTCAAAAGATATTGTTGTCCTGAACTTAAATTTGAAAAGATATTCCACCTGTGATCGGTTTTCGTAAACTTATGAGGGTTTAAAGATTGCCATTTTGGCCAATTTGGGACAAATAACGAGCGTTACATTTCGCGCTATTAACGTGTAAGCGGAGATTTATTCCGTCTTATAAATCGTTCCAAAATGGTTGAACGAAGCTTATTTGCCATAATTGATTTGTTAAAAGGAACGAAATCTATCTTTTTGTACTTTATATAGCGTTTGGGGGGATGATTTTCATTAAAAAATTTCAAAATTTAAGTAAAAAAAGTTTTCATTTTATCTTGTTGCATATAATTTTTTTTATGTTATTACTGCTGCTCCATAAACCTTAAAAGACAGTCGGAACATTCAGGGCTTCGCCCTGATACGAGCAGTCTTGTTCTAATTGGTATCATATCAATTGCGTAAATCTAACTCTAAGCGACTGTAAGAAGATCCAATGATTTCGATGTCATATGTGTGTTAATGTAAATCTGTCAATAATGCTTCAATTGGTTATGAGTTAGTGCGAGATAATTATGCAAATAGAGCCATTTCTAATGTCAGAGTGCTTATGAGAGTAACTATGGACTCGAGCGTTCCCTTGGCAGCTAATCTTTGGGATAAAATGTATGTTATCTTCTACATTGTAGAAAACGTTTCTCATTGCTTGGTTTTTCCGACGTCTTTCTCGAGCAACCCAAAAAAATGGTCGTAAGCAAACGACAGCTATGAGCTGCATAAACAAAAAATTAAGAGCCAATATTGTTTCACTGCCTCAACCCCTTTCTCGAGGACCAAGCCCGCCCCAGACACATTTCGAGCAGAGAAAAAAGCATAACAGCAGCCAGCTCGAGGAAGGAATTATAAAGGGAGGAATAAGACTGGCCGCTTCAGATGACAAGATTCCAACTTTTTGACTCCTACGTAATAAAAATTGGTACCTAAACACCCAAAAAAGTTCTGATATAAATGCCTCAAACCCGGAAAAAGTCGATAGCTTTTTCGTAAATGGGTTCGAGGTGTACAAAGCAGTTACGTCTTTTCCAGATGGTCCGGGAGCCGTTCCGGACAAAATTGTTCAAGTTTTTTCAGACCTTTTTAGTAAATCAAGAGGCAATGCGGGGCTCAACTTTTTGAAACCACTTACTAAGCTCGTTAACCTTATAGGTGAAGGTAAAGTACCCGAAAAGCAAAGACTTCTTTTTTGTAGCAAAACTTATCGCCCTCATAAAAACAGATTGATCCACAAGATCTTCAAAACCTTATTAGCAAGTCGAACGCAATGCGGGGTTAATTTAACTGAGATCGGGTTCTTTGCTCCTAAATATGATGGGGGAAGGGAAAGTACCCAAGCTGTCAAGAACTTTCGTTTTTGGAGCAAAAATTAACGATCTCAAAAAAATAGACGGAGGTTTGCGATCGATTGCCATCGGCAACACATTGACACAATGCCCCTAAATGTGCAGGAAGCAAGGCTTTTGCAGAGCGACAACATTTTTTTGGGAGTTTCAGATAAGATGTGGTACTAAACGAGAAGCTGAAATTGCCGCACATTACTTTAAAAATTTGATAGAGCGTGATGACAACCCGAAGTGCTCAGTTTTACTTAAATTAGATTTAACTAATGCATTTAAATCACTGAATAGAGAAACTACGCTGAATCACGTTTTTCGAACGCCCAGATTTGTACAAATATACTCATTGCGCCTACAGTAAAACGAGAGCTTCTGTATGGAAATTCCATCATTATGTCGGAGGACGGAATAGAAAAAGGTGATCCCGAGGCTCCACCTCTTTTTGATGAAAGAATACACACGCTGGTAAAAAAAAGCTTGAATCCAAAATAAACGTTTGTTATTTAGATGTGTGGCTAGCAAGATTTTGCTCCGAGAACTTAAAAGCACACTAAAATCAGAAAAAAAAACTATGGCTTAAGTCTGAACACTGAAAAATGTGAGCTATATTTTCTAGGACAGACCACAAGTACGCAGTTCAATGGATTTATAGGTCAATATCAAAAATAAGGTCAAAATAAAAACCAAATCCAAGGATGAATTTGAAATTTTGGGCTCCCCTAGAGGCGAATCTTGTCGCTAAGAACTGCTAAATGAAAAAACAGCAGAGCTGGAAAAGATTTCGGAGGTTATTGATAAGCTGGATGAACATTATGGTTTTCACCTCCTAAAAATTGCTTTAGCATGCCGAAACTCTTAAAAATTTGGCGTATTTCTTGCAAAGTGATTTTCTGGAAAAACACGATCGAATTTTAAGAAGTTCGTTATCTGAGGTTTCATAAGTAAGAAGTAGTGATAGCAGTTGTCCTGAATGAGTGACACGCAGTTCTCCCTGCAGCCAAAGGTGGTTTAGGTGTTTTTTCCGTTCGCCTACTACTTTTACCCGATTTTTTAGCCTCAGCAGTAGGAGCAAAAGCTACCTTAACTGAGACTTTTGGTTTGGAGCACGAGGATGGAACAATGATGCATTAGAACTTTGGTTTGATTCAGCGAAAAGTGGAGTAGCTCCGGAAAATGAAATCAAAAAAATTGGACGGAGCCCATTTTTGATAATAAAAGTTCTCAAATGAGTTTGAAACCAGAACCTACTGGTCTAAAAGGTTCAATGCTTACCAGGATAAGTTCGGATCGCTATGTTTGAATTTCATACCGTGTAAAAATCTAAGATTGAAATTGTCAAGTCAGCAGCTTGAAATTGCACACCGCCTAGGTTCACAAATTTGCGAAAAACAGATGCTTTTGCGGAAAAGATGTAACCAAAGATGGATGGCATGGCCTATCTTGTCGGAAATTGCAGGAAGATTCTCTAGAAAATTAAATTTGAATGCTCTTACAAAGCAAATTCTCGCCTTCAGTCACATTTCTAATGTTTTGGAGCCACGACACCTCCACAGGACAGATCAGAGGCGACCAGACGGTTTTGACGATCGGTCCATGGGCTGTTGATAGGCATTTCCTCTGGTATGTAAGGATAGTTGACTCCCTAGCCCCTAACAGAATAAGCACAAGCTTGGTTTGTAACCACGGAGCGGCCGAAAATCTGACAAACCTAGGGATTCAATAAATAATGGATATATTTTTCAACCAATAGCTTTTGAAGTTCAGGATGCGGTCGGCCTTAGCACTGAGATTTTTCTGAATAAGCTTCTTAAGAACTTGAGCAAGTGTACCGAGGAACCCGGGGCAGGTTACTTTTTAAGGCAGAGAATCTCCCTGACAATACAGGTTTCGAATAATTTTTTTATTTATAGAGCCAAGTGAACAAAAGCGCAACTTTATAAAGAATATGATAGACCGGTAGCCTCATATCAGGTCAGTCTTTTTGAGTCACTTTCGAGTCCGGTTTATTCTGTGCAGGTGTTAGTTTTCTCAATCTGGTTGGCTTCATAGCCAAGCATATGACTCTCTTTACTTCTATCAACATTATACTATTCTCTTCCAAACCTGAAAAGTTCCCAGATTTTGACTGGATAAGATGATAAAGGGACTTTTGACTGAAACCTTGATTACTACGATATTTTTTGACTTCTGACTTTATTTTCAATGAAAAAAAAACAAAATCAAATGTAAAAGCGTATATGAGATTATAATGCTACTGCAGCCAACCGATTCAAAAGTGCCACTAAAAGTAGCACTTCTATTTGCAACTTAAATTGGAAAAAAGAAGGTTCCTACTAATACACTCGATTCGCAAGAGTAAATAAGCATTTGGAAGATAATCAAAATCCTCCTTGTGTCTATGAGCCGCTGATTGAAAATCTTCCCAAACACCGTCCACTGGAACAGAAGAAGCATCTCCACTCGTCGTTATAGATTGACTACAGGGGCAAAATATCAGATGAACTAGCAAACGAATAGCTGCACAGTTTGCTAGTGCTATTTTCACAAAAACAAACTGAAGAACGCACTGACGCCGATGAAATTGCCTATTCAGGCTGATCAAAACAGTCGTGTTCTTTGTAAGCATGAGTGCTCGGGCTGTTGAGCCTGGTATGCTGGTCAAACTGCCCGACACCTTAAGACCCGAGTATCGGAACACCTGAGAGCGAGTGCGCCAGTGGGTTCCCACTTGAACAGCAGAGCAGAAATAGACAAACATTCGGTATCAACTCTTGAAAGTGTCATTACATCACCAAACCACGATATTAACTCTAGAGGCTCTTCACATTGCTTTTTATTAATTATTAGCCCCGGTCCTGCTCAGTGCAGGACCAACCGTGGGGAGAGAGACGTCATCCATTTTGCCGCAGCCGGTCCCACCTTGAGGAGACGGATAACTTGCGACCCCTCCAAACGTGACCGAAGTGGTTACTTTTTATGCCTATATTTTTTCATTCCTATGTTTTGTCGTTTCTTGGTCAAGTTTTTCTTGTTCTAGATAACCGATGATGGCAGTATTGCCGAAAACGATTTGAATTCAACATTGATCCGACTTGTTATCCTTTGTCTATGGCCTCTTGTTTTTCTCGCGTTCACTTTTAGCATGTCTCCGGTAATTCTTCGGGCGTATTCCCCATTCAAAATTTTGTAGACTTCTCTCATTCTTCCTATCTTCTTTCTGTATTCTTACCTTTTCTAACTTCTACAATCTCTCATGTGGAAGGGAGGCCAGAGAGGTCATTTGATCCAATGGATCTAATTGATCGTTAATGTTTCAAATTTTGGTCGAATGACGTGTTTAACACTGTTTATCATCTTTGAAAAATACATCACAGATAAAAACAAAAACAGAAAAACATTTTCAAAAAATTAAACTCTGCGGTCAGCAAATAGTCTTGTCGAGACTTTTCACGAACCTGTGCAAAACTGGGTAGTTTATCTAGAAGATGATCTGGAGCATTCGTTTCCACTAAAGCTTCACGAAAGCTGTCATACGCTGAATCACCCCTTGTCGCTAAAATTTTACAAAGCTCCGAATTCTGATCACTTCTCGTTGGTTTACTAAGAATACTTTCCACCAACTGATCGGTCAATTCACCTTTTGTTACGAGGTAATCGCAAATATCTCTCGTACTTTGTAAGTTTTTGCTTATATGATATCGCGCTTCGCGAAAAGCAGTACTTCGCTTACGTTCCATAAATATTCTGAAAAGATTTTTTCGACATAAAAATTTTTTTGATGACGTTGAAGTTGCGCAAAAATAACCGGACTGCTTTAGTGAGGGAGAGTTCTGATGACGCTTTAAGAGTTTTCTAGATTTGAAAAAAAAAACGAACTGGGCTCTTTTCGAGTTTCCCAAACCCCTCGTAAAATTGCTAAATTGAGCTGCACAAAATTTGTTCACACGGCATTGTGCATTCAAAATATGTTATCAAAAATTGTTCACCTGCTCAGGCTGACACTTTTTGATGCAGTTTATAAAATGAAAAGTATTTTTACTAAGACTTTGACGTTTTGATTTAAGAAAAATCAGAGAGGGGACTCGAAAAGAGCCACAAACTGAAACAAAAATAACCGGTTGCTGTTGTCATCAGAAAGTTCCAGCCACAAAAATACAAAAGTTTTTTTTCAAAAATTATCGTTTTTTAGCACTATCAAAAACGGTAATCAGAAGGTCAAAAGTATCATAGTAACCGAGGTTACAGTCAGGAGTCCCTTCATCACATATTCCAGTCAAAATTGTGACATTCGACCAGAATGTGCAAAATGCAATCTCTGCAGAATTCGAATTTTTAGCAGCGAGCCTTCCGAATTGGTGATTATTGAGAATTAAGAACGTTATTGGAACGATTGGCCAAACGGTGAGGGCTAGAATATTCTGGTATTTTAACATTTTAAAATGTCGAATTATGACGTCATATTTCTGAGAAACGTCAGAAACGGCCATTTTGGCTAAAACGAGAAAGAAGAACAGAACAACATTAGCTGCGCTAAAAACAATTACGAAATCGAGATTGGAAAACGACAACGAGTTACAGAGTAACAGAGAACACTCCGAGTTGCAACTATTGTGCCGCTACAATAGTTGCAAGGCCGTTGCGAACAACGGTGAAGGGTGAAGGACAGCCTTCCGGATTAAGAAGAAATCAGGATGAACGAGCTTGATCCAGCGGATTCATCAATCCGGAAGGGTAAAGGAACTGAAACTTTTATCCTGTTACATAAACTTTTAGCTTCCTGTCATGTCCTGACTTGAATTTAATTAACATCTAGATTCATTTTGATGAGGATGAGAAGCTAGGAGTTGGGGGAAGGGGTTGATCCATCTTCGATGGAGATGATGATTTTTATCTACTGAACAAAAACAATAATGATTCAAATAGTAGTAGCCCTGTTTTTAGGAGTGACCTCGTGGTCTGGGGATACTGAGACCCAGCCATGAGCTCACTATTTCTGCATGTAATCTAGTTAATTTGAGTGTTTTGTGTAACATTCGCCCAAATACTACACAGCGACGGAGCGTAGGAAAAGTACCTATTAACGACTGGCAGGCGTCAGTTACCTTAATCCTACTCGCTTTTCACCTTCACCGTCTCGACCTTGCCAGTTGATTTTCTGGTCTGTCTAGGGCAAAGTAAAAAGTTACCATTTTTAGGCCATCAGTCAAACGACTTTTGATCAGCTTTCGTTTACATGCGAACACAACCACAAAGCTGAGTCTCGGATCCTCAGACTACGTGATTGTCATTAAAAACACGGCTCGAACAACCTATTTTAACATGTTTTTGTGTGACAGTTCTATATTAAATCCATTGGAGATGGATTGACCCTTTCCTCTTTCTAGCTACTCATATTCTGAAATATCAAACAATAACGGTGTTAATTAAGAGATCTATGACATTCCAGTAGCTATAAAGTTAGTTTTTACAGTCCCTTCACATAGAACAGTCTCTGGGGGACCAACCCTCCGCTCCCGTAATATTCCTGAGATAACGCTCTTATCTCCTCTGATTCGCTTCCCGGGAGGGTTCCGTGGTATATTTCTTCCCCCACTGAAGCTTCCTTCTCCACTAATATCCGCTGATAACGGTCTTATTGTGCGTTGTTGCCACGATAAGAGGCTTCGTGTTTTCCGTCTTTTGTACGACTGTTTTTCACAATTTCTGTCGTTGTTCTGATTTTCGTCACTTTTTCAGTCAAAATGGCCGTTTTTCGTATTTCTGAGAAATATTCTTCTTCCAATCGAAATTTTAAAAATAAAAATTCTAGAATATTCCGACCCTCCTCCACTAATATCCGCTGATAACGGTCTTATTGTGCGTTGTGGCCACGATAAGAGGCTTCGTGTTTTCCGTCTTTTGTACGACTGTTTTTCACAATTTCTGTCGTTGTTCTGATTTTCGTCACTTTTTCAGTCAAAATGGCCGTTTTTCGTATTTCTGAGAAATATTCTTCTTCCAATCGAAATTTTAAAAATAAAAATTCTAGAATATTCCGACCCTCCTTCGTCAATAAGGCCTTTAGTTGTTCCTTTTTACGTCGCCGGAAGGTTGTGCTGTGCCAGTCTGGCAGAATGGCACATACTCCCCGGACAGTCCCCATCAATGTCCCTATTGATCGCATAACACCGGGTTATCGTCAAGTAGTTATCCAGTTTTCTGTAATCAATCTTACAAATCGCATAAGAAAATGAAATTTATCTACCCCACCTCAACTCACTACGTGTTCACAAATGGCATCGTACTACATTTCACTGCCTTTCAACATTTTCACAAAATTTGCACCATGAGGAGTGTCCTAGATAAAATTTCTTTTCTGACTACTTACGTCGTCTTGCCATAAAACTTCTTTTCGCTCTTTGTGATTAAAAAGTGGGACGTGGCACGGCCACGCACCCGTTAAAATTAACTTAACTTCACTCACCAAGTATAATCAGTCATTTATGCGGTCCTTTCAATATTAAAACTAAGAAACTCTGTGGCTAGGAAAGTTATTGAGTTACCCACCCTTCTCGAGCGAGTTTACTCAAACTTACCATGTCGCCACACAGTGAATTTGTGTCTTACACAGGTTAAAAACTTCAGTCGTGAATAAATAGGTAAATATGCTCACCTAGGTTCCTCATATACATACATAAATAGCCATAACTAAAATCAAGAATCTCAACAATTTTAACAATTGCAACATTTTCAAAGTTTGGTTTGACCAAACTAAATCAAAACAGAAAGTTTCACAAGTTCAATAATCAAAACATGGTTGATTGGTTTAAGTTTTAGCACACAAAGACAATCAAGTTTTTTCTCATTCTCTTCCTTTCTTGCTCACGTCTTCACTTGTTCTCTTCGTTCATCATCTTCATTCCATCGCTTCTCCATCCTGATGTTCATCGTCACTGTCTTCCAGAACTTTCTCCAACATGTCCATAGAGTTGCGGGCCGTGCCCCAACTCTCCTGTTCCAACAGCCTCGGTTTGCAACAAGGTAGCAAGTCCACTTTCACCTTCTGCTCCCGGTTCCTGCAAAAGCTGTTGTGAAGACATAGGCTCACGTTTCGTTCTAGGTCAGCTCTTAAGACCTCTTTCTTCTCACCTTCAGTAACACAAGGCGCTCCAGCTACCCGCTTCACCGCTGTGGTGACCGCGTTTCTGTGCGTCAAGAATACTCTCTTATAGGCTCCTGGTCCTATATCTAGCTGGAAAGATTGATAGGCTTCCGTGTTCCTTCCTACATGTGACGCTTCGCGCGTTCATACATCCATGATGTCATCACTGCACGGAACCAAGGCATCAATCTTTGCCATGACCATATTCTTTCAATGGCTTTAGGTATCCTCAGAACCTTGCAGGTGGTTCTAAAAAGATCCAATTCACGACTCATCTTCACGTTGCTCAGCTGCTCAGGAGTCGGCACGGCCGTCTCCTGCTCATTTGTGTCCGCGTTAGCCTCCAGCCATCTCACTGCCAGCATGGCACTAACCACCACGATTGACACCTGTTGATTCTGATCGGGCAACCCCGTAGAGTACAACTCCTCCACGTCCCATACTAGCATTAGATTCGCGCGTTTGGGGTACCACAACGTCTGCGCCAAGCAGTGGCAAGGATACTCCCCATGGGTTCTCACTATGTTCCTTCGGGTCCGATACCATGAGGCTCCCAGCAACGGTTCCACCTCCATCAGAATTCTGTGTAAGTCGTATTTTTCTTCTATTGTGGGGAATTCAGTGGGTAAGGCTCCACTCGCTTTCTGTTTCTGGAACTCACTCAGATTGCCTTCGTTTAATCTCAGAAACTCTTCACCCACCACATCTTGCAACTCGCCTTCAGATCTCTTCGGGACTGCCCGAAAGATCTTTGCCAACAAATCATGTGACCTCTCCGACATTCTGGCCAACCTCACGCACTTTGGCACAGAGAAAAGTTGATCAATCAACACCTGCTGTGTCCTCGCATCCATCACCACCATGTGTGTAGGATATCTACTACTGCAATATGGTGCGGAGCTTGAACCCACCAGATACTTTGAACCAGTCGGTTTATGATAGGCCTCACTATCTTTCAGATTCATCTCGTTCTCCAGAGCTTCTCTCCAGCCTCCGATCTTCTGCTCTGTCTGCAATGCTCCAGGGAATACTTCCACGCTGAGGGACGTCACTAGCTCATGGGCACGCTCCAGGCGCTCAAGCGATTCAATCGAACTCGTCATGCTGCAAAATCCCAAGGCTGTGATCAAATTTACGTCCGTCACCCCATGACAGTCCGCGACCAACTCCATACCACTTTTATCCGACATGCTCAGTCTTCCGTACAATCGTGCCAGTTGCCGATGCTGCTCGCTCAGCGTAACCAGGCAGTGTCCCAGGTTACAAACATGTCCTTCCATCCCACTGTGTTGAGCCAAGCATGTGCCTTGCTTCAACCAATTACTCGATGGACCTTCCTCGGACAGCTCCGTGGATGGGTTGCTCTTCCGCTTCGTCAATCTCATGGCCAGCAGATGATGTATCATGGCCAGATCATGTAAACTCGCGTCATCATCTAGGTCTAACGTGATATCCGCCGTCATGTCCCAGATTAAACCGGCATTAGGATGAGGGCACCAAGAAGGCTTCATGAGTTCCCACATCGTCACTAGACTGGTTTTCAAGGGACCGTCCCAAGAACCACAATCAAAACTCACTTGCCCCTTTAGCTCGGGAACC